TTCTCTTACAATATCCTCATTCCAGATTACACCCCTCTTCGAAAAGTCATTTCCGTATTTAATTTGCAAGAATTATTAGGTCATTAGTATTTCGATTTCCAATTGAGATTAATTGCTTCGGAGTATTTTAATCAGATGTACAAAGTCTTGGCAGCTGGTTGGACTCGTTTAATTCTCTTTTTGAAGTTATTTTGTCAATTGAGAAAATTTACATTTTGTAAAAATATTTTTTCTATCGTAAGGGGCAAAACAGACGATTTGGGGGCACGGTAGTGCCCCCGCCAAGTCGAGTGCGAAGCAAACACTGTCGTACCATCCTTTACTGGAACCATTTCGCCGTATTTTCAGGCCCCTATTAGAAAACCTCTGGATAAGACCAGAACGCAAAAATTTGTGTCATCCAGTAAGCTGTAATCACATACTTAAAATCCAAACTTGGCTGTTGAAGGGTTTTCCAATTGGCAATTTTCCATCGTCAATGGGTAGCGGTTCTGGTGACTGATTGGTGCAAAGGTGTCAAGGAGCACCTGGTTTTGTACCCTTGTGTACCCTTCAACGGCAAAGTCACACAACATTTACTATGATAATAACTAAAACGCAATAAGGAACCTTAGACTTGGCACGACTTTGTTATATTTCATTACTTTTTAGAGATAAACTAGCAGCTCCATCGAGACTCGGCTAGTTTTTTACAGAATGTTTTGGTGAGATCGACTTTTTCGTGACAACTATTGAGTAAGGGATTTTGAGTTTGATTCCTGGTTGGTCCAACTATATTGCATTGTTTCGGTTCATCGAACTTTTCTCAGTCATTGCAAGAAGTCTAGAACTGCACCCGGTAAATGGAAGTAGGCTAGATCAAAAGGGCGAACTTATTAATCTATACTTATAATAAATCTGTAGAGAGGTAAATTCTGTACATAAAATACATTTAAAAAATAACTATCAAGGGGTGGTTAGGGATCGCTACTGATGCCAAAAATGCAATCAGTAAAATTTTTGTCTGTCTGTCTGTCTGTCTGTATGTTCGTTATGGAAACCAAAACTACTCGATGGATTTTAACGAAATTTGGCACAATTATTCTTCATACTCTTGGGCAGGTTATAGTATATTTTTCATTACGCTACGATCAATAGGAGCAGAGCAGTGAAGGGAAATATTGGGAAAACGGGATAAGTTATTCCATTTTTTAAACTTCCGTCGCGTGTGCAGGCTTATAGGTTAAAGCTGCATAGAAATCATGTATGACGGAAATATTCTCCTTAAAATTATATAAAAAATATTCCTCGACAGCATATGTCTATCTTTTATGGTTGACTCACAATAACACGTGAAACTCCCGATAGCTTAGCAATTCGGTGATTTCTGATTGTATTTGTCTACTCTAACGTTTACAATACTCATTCATAGACTTTACGCTGTAACTGAAAGGCCAATGGTTGAAATTAGCTTGACTCGATATTATAAATGAAAATATGTGAGTTTATGTGTTTGTGTGTATGTTTGTTACTCAGTCATATTAAAACGACTGAAGGGACCGGAATGAAATTCGGAACAGAGGTAGATTATGGTCTGAAGTGATACATAGGCATTTTACCCCTGGGACCGCGGGCGAAGCCACTGGCAGAAGCTAGTATTTCTTATATTCTTAAACATACGTGTAAATATAGTTATAATGGGTATGGTTAGCATAGTGGGTGAAAGGTGGGTTTTACACATACATTCAGTGTAAAATTCCATAAAGGTGCTCCCTCACCCGGAGCATTCACGTGTAATGTAACATTATAGATTCGACTTTGAGCATTTCATAGCAAGATGTCAGACGAAGCGGGCGGGCGGGGGGCTGAGGGAAATAGAGCGAATTGATGTTACAAGTTGTATCAAGATATTACACATTGGAGCATTACAAGGTGCGCATTTTAATGCTGGTTTCTCCTCCTTCACTGATGTAAAGCTCAGATTTGTAACACATTACACACAAATGCTCCCGGTGAAGGAGCACCTTAAGATATAGTTGTTTTGAGACTAACACCTGACCTACAAACACTTCAGCATAATAATAAAACGAAGCATTATTATTACAGGTACTAAAATTAATAACCTTATTTACAGCAGTTTCTTATTCGATGCTGTTCTAAAACCTGGATTAACCTTAATAGGCATACTAACGACAAGCTATTTAAATATCACGTATTTATAAAATTAAAAAATATTACTTACAACATGAACATCTTGCAACGGTGGTGCATGCAATACGCAAATAGCCTTTCTAGGTTTTTACCCTTAGTATGTGCTATTATATTATATTAACTATAATCATAACTGTTTTAATACATTTCCTTCATTTTATTTTTCTATATTAATTGTAAATAGACTCCTTTCTACGAGAAAACAGGGCCGTATTTGACTTAGCAATGAAGTTTTTAACCGTTATAAAAGCAGTGTTTCGATAACGGCTTACGTGTAGATTTTTACTAGCTTAACTGGCATTTATGTCATACATTTAATTTTAAAATACTCGAAATTTATCTGTTAGATAGACTAACAAAAATTGTACCTAACGTGATGAAGATCTTAAGAGTAATACCCACGTGTCGTCAGCAAATCGTAAAAAAATAAATTTAGCAAAAGGGCTATCTAGTGCATATTATATTTATTATTTGAGTGACTAACATTATCCTTTAGAGCATGTAAAACAGTCGGTTACGCTTGTCATAAAATGCTTACAGCGGTCGTTACGAGTATGGATGTCGATGGGCACTCATTAATTTACTAAAACAATGTAAACCTAATAAATTTTATAGCGAAGCAAAATATCTAATTAGCAATATAGTATTAGGGTTGTTACATCATTGTTATTTTGTTATTTATAGAACAAATAAATATATTACTGAATAAAAGTAGTCAAGATGACAGTTAGATGCACCATTTCATCTTAAATCCCAATAACCTTTAAGTTTATAATTCAAATTTTTGTAAACGAGCACTGTAAATTAAAATGGATACTTATTTTTAATCTATGTCTTATCAAATTGTAAGTCTATTGCACTAATCACAATTCCAGACTCCATACCAACAATTTTGCATTAGAATAACCACCAGGATCCATTTGATTGATACTCGCATTTGCAACAACAATCTAAATACGGCCCTGCAAATGAATAGAAATGAAACCGTGTAAAGTTTTATCGTGGAGGTAATTAAAACTTTTTATTGTGAGTAATAACTTAAAGTTTATGGTCCAAATGACCTATTACTCATGGTGTCATAAGCTGGGTGATTACCAATGAATCATTACAATGCAACCATTTTATGGGTCACCAATGTTTGGTGTCTTTATGGCAATAGTCATTTGTAGTGGTATGTTGGTGCAAACATTTGTCTTAAATTTTTTGTTTTATGGCATAAGCCGGTAAACGAGCAGACGGATCACCTGATGGTAAGCAATCGGCGTCACCAATGGACACCTGGAACACCAGGGGCGTTACAAGTGCGTTACCGGCCTTTTGGGGATTCAAGAATTGGAGATATTGGGGAAGGGGAGGGTAATTGGGCCTCCGGAAACCTTACTCACACGACGGAACACAACGCGAACGTTGCTTCACGTCGGTTTTCTGTGAGGCCGTGGTATCATTTCGGTCGAGCCGGACCATTCGTGCCGAAGCATGGCTCTCTCACATTTTTCATGTATGTATGTTGGTGCAAACATATCTTAAATAATTTATTTTATTAAGACACTCAGAAAGTTACACTCTAGTTTTACAAGCTAGCTTGTAAATACAGCATATATAGAACTAAAAAAGTAACTAAAACTTATTCTATAAACGAAGGAATTCTTGTGAATTCCCGAGGGTTTCGCGGAAAACGCGTCCATTATTTTGGCTTATATATATTTTATTTGTTAAATACAGTTAATATAAAGTTATTTATGTTGTAAACAGTTCTGTTGTACAAATGCTTCCATTCCATTCCACAGTGGTATAAATTAAGCCATACATTGGAATATGTCTTGCAAAACAACAATTCTACTCCTCTTTTTCCTGATTTCCTTCCTTGTACTCATCATTGCCTTTTAACCACACGTTTCGAACAACTTTTAGCCCCCACAAATTGTTAGGTAGGCAAGTCATTACGCCTTCTAAGTAGGTAGCCCATTAATGCAAGTTTGCCGTGCCAATCGGCCCATAAGAGCCCCTGTAAAGTTGACCTAACCTTAATCTTATTTGTGACCCCAATAACAGCAAAGTAAGCATTCTTAGTAGCATTTGTTGTTTATTAGTTTTTAAACCTTATTGTTCTCTTGGAGTTTGGAAGGAAATTGGTTTTTGAAGGTTCTTGGCAGATTGGTTGTTTAAGTACCAGGAACTGTTAATTTCATTAACATTGGGAGTTCTGTATTCATAGGCTTGTTTGTAGATATGAACGACCTGGGAGACACTCAGTCTGGCACAAATATAAACCAATGTATTGTCTTAATTCTGAACGGGGATTTTTTACTGCACCTCTATTTATAAATTTAAGCAAACCAAATTTCTCCATAAATAACCTACTTACTGCATATCACAAAAATAACTGTCCAACAAATTAACTACATATTACTCACCGTAAAACGAAAATACTGATTTGCACACAAATTGTTCAATATTACAACAGAATTTCCAAAATAGGTTATAACCTAACCTATTTTTAGGTTAGGAATTATTAGATTTACTTTTAGTTAAAATATAGTTATTTAGAAAAACAGTTAAGCTTTAAAGATCTAACAGTATAGTATAATTGATTTATTTGATGAGCAAATTTAGTGTGCAATTCAGTATGTTTGGTGGTAATTTCGAATATTTTGATTGAAAAAAGGGAATTTACAGTTAAAGTATTAAATACCACCCATTCTTAACTTAAGTAATTTCATGTCATGCGTCTCTCTGTGTGGCATAGTTCATAATCAGTTAGAATTTCTGTATTTGTCACATTTACTCAGACTTATATTTCATTTCCGCAGATTTCAAAGTCGAGGGCTACCCAGTCTTCGTTTGGTTCCACGGCGGTGATTTTGTGCGAGGCAGCCCTAACAGTGTGAACCCCTTCCAATTGGTGATAAAACAAAGGGTAATGAAAGTTTTTCAACTAATTTACTATTTTTATTACACCTCTAAATGAGACTGACCCAGTTGAAGAAGTTCAGAACTTACTTATTGAATTAGTTGCGACAATCAACGTTGTAGATGACTTTTTAACTGACCACGAAAGCGTAAGATTAGTTTAATTTGTAAGTTGGCATGACCTCAATAGATGTAAACATAATTGTTAACACTAAAATTCTGGGCACTGTATACTGTATAGTATATGAACCATGAATTACAGAAGGATTGCCGTTAATGAATTTTAATTTCAAACATCCTTTTAAACGTATAACGCTAAAATAAATAGCGTAGTGTGTTGATCACTGACTGTAGCAATCCGAATATTAAAACAATGAAATATAAATCTTAATTTCTAATTCCAGGTAATTTTCGTATCAGTGGCCTACCGGCTGAACATCTTTGGATTCTTCTCAACCCTCGACAATGAAGCTTCAGGCAACTTTGGTCTACACGACCAAGTAGCATCTTTACATTGGGTCAAAAACAATATTGAAAGTTTTGGAGGTGATCCCGAAAACGTTTGCATCATTGGTCATGATGCTGGAGCAGTCAGCGTCACCCTTCATTTAATATCCTCGTACTCAGCGGGACTCTTCCATAAAGCTATAGCAATGAGTGGAAATGCTTTATCACCAGAATCTGTAAACATAGCAAGGAAAGAAATAGTTACTGTCGATAAGGTTGCAGTTGCATTCAGTTGCTTTAGAAAACCTACTTACCAATTACTAGATTGTCTGAGAAGAGTTCCAGATAAAGCACTGTTAGATATAGCTGGACCAGTAGCTGAATGGAAACCTATCGTAGATGGAGGTTTTAGTAATATAACCAGTCCGTTTTTGCCAGAGCTACCATCAAAACTATTCAAAGATGAGATTTTCTCCCCAGTCCCTCTATTAGCAGGCTACACGAACATGGAAGATGGACTTTTGCTAGAAAAAGATGAAAGTGGAGATTCAGGTATTAGTCAAAGGGAGTTTGATTCAATGAGAGAAGAAATTATCCTTGCAGATATCACTGTTGACAACAGCTCGTGTTTTACTAATCAACATCACATACAAGACGCTGTAGCATTTTTCTACAAACCGATACCTCATACGACGAATGAAACTGTATTGAGAAAGCTATTCGTGGATTTTTATACCGACAAAACGCATGGAGCTACTACTTATCAGTTAGCGAGACACATTTGTCCACACGCTCCAGTTTATCTCTACAGATTCGACTTAAAACCTTTTTCTGATTTTGCAAATGAGGGTCTTCCAGAATGGATTGGTGTTCCACATAATTTCGACCTTATTTACACCTTTGGCATGCCTTATCTAGCTTTACCAGAAGACCTAAGCAAATGGGACTACCGAGACAAAAGCATTTCAGAAATCATAATGAGAATGTGGTCCAATTTCGCCTGGTACTCAAATCCTACGAATTCAGGAGTAATTATAGATTGGCAGACTTATGAATTGGAGAGGCCTGGGTACTTGATCATTGACAGAGCCAATTTCACGATGAGCACTCCAGCAACAATTAATTACAAAGCTTTTGAATTCTGGACGGATTTTTATCCGAAAGTTGTTGAAATTGGGACGAAGTGTTGTAAAGAAATCACAGATGATTCTGGCACGATATCAATATTTTCATCCAAAATAGTTCATAGTATATTAGTATTGTATTGTAGTTTAATTTTACTGTCATAACGAAGGAAGGGATGTGAGAACACGGTTATTTTTGTATAGTCTATTGAAAGATGTATTTTAAGTACCAGTATTTCTTTAATACCAAATGAAATATTTACCTTCCAGAGAATTATTCGTGCAAATAAAATTCTTTAAAATGTGTGTTTGTGGTTTGTTGTTGAATTGAAGGTACTAAGGTAAAATTGTAAGTTCCCAAATTTTAGAGAAGGTAGATAATCGTGGTAGTTATATGCTTGAAGCTAAACTGGGAAACAGAAGCCGAGTCGTCAGTCAAAACGCAACTCTAGACTCTGTGCATAGCTAGTAAAAGTACAAAATTAAAATACACAAAAACAAATTATCCAACGGAAGAATCGGAGGTACAATGTCGTGCTCGGCACGGCACTCAGCCAACGTCTTCAATATGTTAAACTAAAAAACCATAAAGGTCAAATAATGCATATACCTACTCGTAGATTAGTCACAATGTCATAGCTTTATGGTACACGCGATATTTCAAGCAACTGATTTTTTGTTGAATTACAACGACATTAATGCATTCATACATTTTATACGTCATCGGTTTATCGAAACAGTAATGTAGAATTCTGAATCACTAACCACTAATTTTCCAGACCGTGACTCAGTTTTCAAAGAATTGTTGGAGCTGAAAATATGGCATAAGCACGACAAACATAAATCCAAAGTCGAAGTATTATAATTAAAGTAATATGTCGTCAGGGATAGTGGAAATCTATCATTACGTAACTCTGCGATTTTTAATGGAAAAATGTGTAAATTCGGATTTTGCGTGCATGCTCTTATTGGAAGCAATATTCAAAATTGGCTACATTTGTCAAATACGAGGATAGGGTAGATGATATTTATTTTAATGTCCGTCTGGTAGATTATTTTAAAACATTATACACGTATTTTTATTTTTTTACAGAAACGAATACTTTCGACGATGTCTTGATTTGAAATGTCGCGTGACGTCACTTCTATGTACATAGGTACATTTTATACGTAGAAATGACGTTTAAGCCCCCATTCCTAAACTTTGATTCGTTATATCTAAGTATCATTTTATTATACAACAAAATAAAAAAAGTCTAATATTTTTTTTATTACCTAATTGACGGACTAATTACATTTTTAATTTCCATACCCTGTCATCATCCCTATTAATCTAATGTTAAATACATACATACCGGTGAATGTCAACTCTGTACATTTATTCTGCATTATTTGTATAGATTTCCAATTTTACTATGTTCTATTCTTAGCTGTCTAATAATAACCTAAAATAAGTATATTCATCTTTAAAATTGAATCGTATTTACCCAAATTTAAAATTTAGTATCTAGGGAAAGAGATACCTAAATGGAGTCATGAACACAATGAGAAAACCATGTAAGTAAGACTATAAACTGAATAAAACAAAAATAAACGTTTTACAGCTAGAACATTTGCCACGGAACTTTTAGTACTAAACTGAAGCATGAATTTGGCAGAGGCATTTCCTTAACAATTCTTTTTCTATTTAAAACAAAATAAAATAGCAAGCCAAAGATCTTAAATACCAGAGAAATCCGTATCATGGCATTTTTCCAGTACCATATCTTTCTGGCTTTCTACCAACTAGGTTGAAGTCACTAAGTCTTCACTAAAATTGAATGTAAGTCTATTACATGAAGTAATTGTCATCTGTTTACTGCAATCGTTAGAGACAGTGAACTGATACTACAAAAATTAAATATGTGCAATACTCCATTTTGGCCATTTATTTTATGTCTCGTGTAATAAATTGTAGGCTGGTCTATTATTCGCAAACCCCGGATACAACTAGAAAGATAAACTAAATATATATTCCTATATACTAGGCAAGGAAAGACTGAATCGATAACATCCATATCTAAAAAAAGTCCTTCCTCTCTCCAACCAATTTTAAATGTTGCTGTGCCCGACAGGGTCCGTATTTGTTATTTTCTAACCACCTATATTATGTACAATATGGATTAAAATACTTGATTTATTGATTTATTAGATTACAATTCCAGGCTCTGTGTTAATATTGAAAATATTCTATAACCAAAAATATTTTCCCTGGCCCCAAGATAAAAACTGGAACCTCTAGCAAAGCAGTTGAATTAAAGAACAACAATCCAGTGTTTCACAACAATTGTAAACCAAAGTAAAATTTTATTGGAAAAATAAATTGTAGCAGTACATAACCTATTTCTGAACAATCGTTTTCGTGCTTGGTAACCATTAGTCACTAAACTTACGAACGCTCGTAACGTTTCAACCGTCAACCGCTGCGATAAACTGTGGGACGGCGTTTGGTTAATATTTCTGCACTCTATAAGTCTTAGAAAATGTTAGGTGGCATAAATATAATTGCTGTTGAAGATAGGTCAGTGATGAGGTTGAAATTAATGCATTTTCTACTCTACACCTACACACTGTCGCGGAGAACCTAACGGGTAACCGGGGCTCCGGCTCACCGTGCAGGAGAAGGAACGGGGTGGTTTTTAGTCAGTAAGAGTCTGACACTCCCTCCCGCCTCACCCAGGCGGTAGCAGTCATTCGATGATTTTCCCCCCTTAAAAAAGGACACTTACACACTACAACATAAAATGGAATAGAGTGGTAATAACGACGAGTAATACAAATAATAATTATGCAGTTTATTGATTGACTCAGGTGAATGTTAGTAAGAGTCAAAAGCAATCAATCAATTTTGCCTCATGAATATTACAAATCTTAGAGTGAAAAAAGGAATAAGTTTCATTTTTAAAGGGGAAAATCATGGAATAACTTATAACTGCCTTGCGTGAGGCGGGAATGTCAGACGTTACTGACTGACCAGCGGTTTCTTCTCCAGCTTTGAGCCGAAGGTAATCCGCTGGTCATTAAGCTCAACCAAGACAAAAATCCCTGCGAGAAAAATATCTGTCACAAAGTCAAAACGGACTCTGAAATTGAATTACAATTAAAATTAAAACACTTGACAAGCATGGGTCGAACTAATGAAAACTCATAATTTAATCATAAAATATTTCAGGAAAAGTTCTGCTGCATAATAAAAGTGAACAAAAGTGTCAAAACTTGGTGATGACCTTTTATAATATATCAATGGGTCACTGAATGTGTTGCTAAACTCAAATCTCGGGAACAGCTGAACCGGGTCCTTTAGTAGGATATAAAAGGGATATTTAATAGATTTTGAATATATGAAATTAATTTGTCTTCTATAATCGCCATTATAGTAGGTAGGTAGACATTAGACATTTGCATCGCCATACAGATGTAGATATGCGAATTTGCAGTGTTATTGCTAAAAGGCGTAGATTATGATAGCAACTATCTAATGCTACGCTTGTTTGAACAACAAATTGGCGTAGTATTGCGCTTGCATTGCTGTTTTAAGGAAAGTTGAGATAAACTGTACTAATATTATAAACTAGCGGCCCGTCCCGGCTTCGCACGGGGGGACTTAAGATTTTTTACATAGTTTTACGTTTTATTTATATTTATTCTCAGTTTTTTTTTAGCGACCTGCCCTCCGTTGTCGATGTCGCGTCTTAAGGTAACCGATTGAACAATTCAAAAGTTATCTAGAGCAAACTTTTATAAGGATTGAACCATCAAAAATCATAAGGATTGAATCATTAAAACGATTGTTATGGGTAAACTATAAAAGGTAGACATATGCTCTCGCGGACTTTTTTAAAAATAATGTTAAGATAAACAATTCATCTATAGAACATTTTTGTATAACTTTAACTATATGCTCAGCGCACGCCACGGAAGGCCTCAGAAACGATACTTTTCCCCGTTTTTAAAACATTTTTGGTTACGGCTCCACAACTATAGGACCTAGCGTGATATTATATAGCCTATGTTACTTCTGAATAATGCAGCTTTCGAATGGTGAAAAAATTATTGCAATCGGTTCAGTAGTTTTTGAGTTTATTCATTACAAACATACAAAAATACAAAAATACAAATCTTTCCTCTTTATAATATTAGTATAGATTAGTATAAATATAGATACAAAAGTTTATCACTTGATGCATTCAGCCTTTCGACCAATGGGATGCAGAACGCTTTATAAGAATAGGTAGTTATCATTCACACATAACATAACAACACGCCTTATATCCCCGAATGGGTAGACAGAGGTGTACATTATGCCACTGTACAATGTAACACCCACTTTTCACTATTGATGTTATGAGTCCCATGTAATAAGGGGTGAGCCTATTGCCATATACCGGGCACAATTACAGATTCCGTGCTACTACTGTGAATTTTTTTGAACAACCCAGTTTTACTTTGCCCGACCCGGGAATCGAACCCGCGACCCCTTGCCAGGCAGTCGCATTTGCGACCAATCGGCCAATGAGGCAGTTATCATTCACATATCTTTACAACCACGATATAAAACTGGATGCTAATATTATGGACTTATAAACGTACAAATTGGATATAATCGAAGTATAAATATCAGTTCTAAGATACTAAAGATTATAGTAAGAGAAATATACAAACTAGTACCTATAGTCCTATACAGAAGTAAAATTACAAAAATGAATTTGCTTCTATTCCTATGTATAGTGCTCGTAGCGAACGGGATTGCTGCCAATGTGAACAGACAGGTAATTATAATTTTAATTTATATAATTCATGGTAGATGCCCCATCTACACGCACGAAGCGCTTCGCATCAAGCTTCCTTGTGCGTACTGCTAAGAAGTGGAATTTGCCAGAGTTTGTATTTCCTGGGTGTCTTCAAAGCCCGTGTGAATAGGTTGCTTATGGGTAGACGTGCTCCATCGTAGGCCGCATCATCGCTTACCACCAGGCCAGATAGTGGTCATATGTCGACCCATTCAATATAAAAATTAGCTATTAAAAAAGTGAGGTCGTTTACCTATGGATCAACATCTTTTGATACTGTCGGTCGTTTGATATCGCTGAACTGTGTGATCTGTGACGCGCGGTAGGATCCTGTAA